ACATAGGCTCTACACGGAACTTCATCAGTCGTGCTTGTGTGGATAGACTGCGCTTAGGGGACCAAGTGCAGCGGCTTAGCAGAACTGTAGCTTCTACGCTGGCCAACAAGCACCAAATGTTGGTAAAAGACTATGTCAAGGACGTAGTCTGTACCTTCTCCTATGGAGGAGGGGAAGTGTGCCATAAAATCTCCTTCGTGGTTACCGACGAACTGCCCTTTGACATGCTCCTAGGTATGTACTACCTCGAGGTCGCGCAACCACAATTTGACTGGGATAGAAAGGTGTTGATTCACAAATTGCCCAACGGTAGATCTGTTAGATTGCAGAAGTTTAAAGTTAGCAGTCTGATAGAAAACTACGGGTGCATGTGTGCATCATCTTTTTATAACTATTATAAGCAGAATCACGAGGAGGGCATGTATCTAGTATTTGTCTCTGAGAAAGGGAAGGTCGTAAAAACACCCCCAGAGATAGAATCAGTCGTCGCTCAGTATTCAGACCTTTTAGAGGAGCCCACAGGCATGGTAGAAAGGGAGGTTGTCCATGCAATAGAGGTTGTCCCAGGTAGTAAGGTGCCTAGAGGACAAATCTATAGGATGTCTCCTGCGGAGTTAGATGAGCTCTGCCGCCAGCTCAAGGAGCTCACAGAGAAGGGATGGATTCAGCCTAGTGCTTGCCCTTACGGCGCTCCAGTCCTATTCGTACCAAAGAAGGGAGGTACCTTGAGGATGTGCATTGACTATAGGGGCCTCAATGCCATCACCGTTAAGAACGCGGAGCCCCTACCCCGCATCGACGACCTCTTGGATAGAGTGCAGGGATGTCGGTACTTCACCAAGATAGATTTGAAGTCCGAATACCATCAAATTGCCATTAGACCTGAGGACCAGCACAAAACCGCATTTTAGACCATGTACGGTCTGTACGAGTTTGTGGTGATGCCCTTTGGCATATGCAATGCACCTGGTACATTCCAGCACACGATGAACAAGATTTTTCATGATTACTTAGACAAGTTTATCGTCGTGTACCTCGACGATATTCTTATCTTTAGTAGGACTGTAGAGGAGCACGCTGAACACTTGAAAATAGTGCTAGGTCTCCTAAGACAACACCAGTACAAGGTTAACTTGGAGAAATGCGAGTTTGGTTGCACCAAGATCTTGTACTTGGGTCATGAAATCTCAGCAGATGGACTGGGCCGGATGATGCCAAGGTGGCCAGCATACGTGACTGACCCAAACCTCAGACTGTTACTGAGGTCAGATCGTTTTTGGGGATGACAGGCTATTATCGTCCGTTTGTGAAGAACTATAGTACTATAGCTTCCCCACTAACAGATCTAACTCGACTTGACACCCCTTGGGAATGAACAGAAGAGTGTGAGGCAGCCTTCAAGAAATTGAAGTATGCTCTAACACACTATGAAGTCCTCAAGCTCCCGGATCCTGACCAGCCCTTTGTCAAAACCACAGACGCCAGCCAATATGGCATAGGCACGGTCCTTGCGCAAAAGGAGGGGAAAAAGTTGAGAGCTATCGAGTATATGAGTAAAAAGATGTCATCTCATAAATTAGCTAGGTCCACTTACGAGCGTGAGCTCTATGCCCTATATAGAGCGCTGGTACATTGGAGACACTATCTCCTTGGCAGATTCTTCTATGTGAGATCTGACCATGAGACCTTGCGTTGGATTAAGACACCGCCGGTACTCTCCGACGCACTCAAGCGATGGATAAGTGATAGACATGTATGACTATCAACTTGATCCAATCAAGGGTGCGTACAACAAAGTAGTTGATGCACTATCTCGTCGGGCAGATTATCTGGGCGCACTAGTGACTGAATTTGGCATATCTAGCGACCTAACTCGATCATAGGTGGATGCCTATCAGCAAGATCCAGTTATGTCTGAGATCATCCGTAGATTTCAAACCAAGGACAAAAAGACTTTGGATGAATTTACGATGTTAGACAGCTTGCTGTTTCTTGTGAAGGCAGGGAATAAAAGATTGTGTGTTCCCAGTAGTGAGTCTTTGCGTAGTTTATTTTTAGGGGAATGTCATAATGCAACTGGTCATTTTGGCTACAAAAGACTTCAGCTAACTTGGTGCAGCAGTTTTGGTGGCCCACTATGATGCAAGATGCGAAAAAGTATGTTGAAACTTGCCAGGTCTGTCAAAGGGACAAACCTAGAACTCAGGCTCCACTTGGGATCATCAAGCCCTTGCCGATTCCTAAAGGACCTGGTCAAAGTGTGTCCATGGACTTCATGGATACTCTTGTTACCAGTAACTCTGGCAAAAGGCAAATCTTCGTAATAGTGGACCGCTTTACTAAGTATGCAAGACTGATCACTATGCCAGAAACTACTAAAATGGACTACGTCATCAAACTGTTTCTGGATAACTGGGTCAGGGATTTCGGACTACCTACGTCAATAGTAAGTGACAAGGATGTAAGGTTTACCAGCAAACTATGGCAGTCGACAGTTGAACAGATGCGTACCAAGCTCCAAATGACGTCAGGGAATCACCCTGAGTCAAATGGCCAAGCATAACAGATGAATCGGGTAGTACAACACCTGTTTCGACATTATATTAAGCCAAGTCAGGATGAAGCCCTCACCGTGGTGCTGGACAGCATATACGATCCGGAATTTTTGGACTGTTCTCACGCGAAGCGTGCAATACTCCAGGTAGACCGAACATTCAAGAGTGTGACTTGGGTTATAGAAGGTGACATTACCACAGCCTGGCAGCTGCCTCACAAGGTTATTCTAGGAATTCTTTCAGAAGAAATTGCTTGTAGAAAATTTATGAGCTTAGTCCGAAACTCCCTAAGTGTTGGATATGCTCGAGAAGTTACCTCTCGTCGCCAGCCTGTACAACAATGCTGTGCATAGTACTACTGGTACGACCCCCAACCAGCTACATCTTGGTTGGAAACCCAGAACTGCACTTAACTTTCTGCTACCAGAAAGGCAACCCACTGCAGCACCTGGCAGCATAAAATTTGTTGTTAAATATGAACAGATGTTGCAGCAGGTCGTTGAACACATTAGGAAGTCTCAGGAGGTTATGATCGCATCCGAGAATAAACACAGACGGCCCTCTAACTTTCAGGTAGGTGATAGAGTCTGGGTAAAGTCATATGAACTGGGTCAGGAGATGGGGATTTCACGAAAACTGATGCCACAGTACTTTGGGCCCTGGGAGATCTTGGACATTTTAGGGAATCAACCGGATGGGCCTTCATACGTAATTCGTATTCCTGCTCACTTACGCACTTACCCTGTGTTCCATGCCTCTAAGTTGGCACCTTTCGCTGCCACTGACCAGTTTCCCTCAAGGAGATCAATGCTGCCCCCAACCATGGATGGCGAGGTGGACGTCAACCAGATCGTGGAGCATCGAGTGATGCCTGTTCCTCAACCATCAGGCAGAGGGCGCCCTCCTAAACCAAGAACGCAGTATCGTGTGAGATTCAGACATCATCTGGATCCCAAGGAAGATCACTGGTTCACACGAGAAGAACTTATGAGAACAACACCTCAAGTGATTGCGGGCTATGAAAGAGAACTGAGAGGGAAGATGCCTGCAGAATAAGAGACTTCTCAGAGGACTAACGAAGTAGAGGAGGAGGGAATGCGAAGATCTGGGTCCTCGGCAGGCTTAAGGGGCCCCGGTTGCAGTGGTGCCCACCCTAAGTGAACGCGGGCCTAACTTATCACAAAAGGCCTTTGACTGTCAATTTCATATTTGGGGTCCAGGCAGTTGCGACATGCCAGTTTGTTGAGTGAAACACAGGCCGAGCAACCAAGACATTTCCACGGCCTTCTAGGCCTCTCAGAAACATGCAGTCCCTGGACGAGAAATGCAGCCTCATACACTGACAATTGGGCCCAACCGAAAGTGCCCCAGTAGCTGCAAAGTAGCACGCAGCATCCTGGGGCCTACCGGAAGCTTCTGGGCCCAGGCCAAGTCCAGCCAGACTGCGAAGCAGGCAGGCACTTTCCATATAGGAAAGAGCTCGCCACTCTCAGCCTCATTCAGGCACTCGCATGCTAGAGGCAGCGCTGCTGGAGCAAAGGCTCGGGGGCTGCTGCTGGCAATGAGAGGCGAGGTGCAGYACGTGCGGTCGTGCAGGGAAGAAGGGCGCTGCTGAGGGCAGCGCCATAGCCCAGCCACCATAGCTGGTGGGCTTGGACTACAGTGAGGCGCACGAGTGGTCTTCGGGTGTAAGGGAGGAAGACGTGGGTGTAAAGTCAGGGAAGGATGAAGGATGATGATGATGATGATGATGTGAGGGCACATACCTTGTACTGGCGATGGTCTGCACTGAGCGACATCTTCAAGTACTTCGGGTTGCCGCTGATGTCAACAGTTGCATTGTCAATTAGTAGGCTGATAATAGCTGTGTAGGAGTAGGCTAGGCGCTGAGCGCCAAGTAGGAGAGTGAAGGGACTGGACTCTTGTGTTGGTGAGGAGAGAGAAAGCTCTTCGTGAAATTGGTTTCCAGTACTACGAACCTCCATTGGTGTATTATTGGTGCAATGCTGCTCTCTGGACACGGTGTGACTATCTGGCTTTCAATGTGATTGTGTAATCTGGATTTGTCATCTCGCTGTTGCTCATTTTCCTTGCATAGGCCTACGGGGGCAAAAACTAAATCGAAGGAAAAAAAACGAAATGATCGCCCTGACAGCTCAGCAGGGGGGATCTGTGAGTAGTGTCGCAAGGTCAAGGTAGCTTCAACA